AAAAAAAAAAAAAAATAATTAACAAAATAATATATACATATATAATATACATTGCTCCATTAAGTTTAAATTAAAAAGATAAATTCTTTTTATGGTCAGGAATATTTTATAATGCTTATACAATTTTTAAACTATGACTAATGGGAAAGACTTAAATATACTGTGTAATAAAAACTTATACCTCAACTATAGGAAATCAAAGATAATTTAAAATTAATTTTATGAATATGAAAACAATACATGATACCTCTATGGATAATTTCTAATATTTTTATTACAAGATTTTTCTCTTTCGTCATAATAAGCAATAATTATTGAAATCGATCTATTATACATACAATGTGTAAACGCTAATTGACAACACTAGTATCTTTACGTAGAGACTGCAATATGAATTCGGTTTTTTAGTTGGTTATTATAAAATAAAAATACACATTTTTATGATATTTAATTTTTTTTAACTCGATTAGACAAGTACATGCGCAGTATAACTTTTTTTTCCTTAAATGAGAACCACTTATTTTAACACCACTAGTTATTTTTTATCTATTTTTTTATAATATTTATTGATTCTTGATGATATTCGTTTAGCTCTAAGAGGAAATATTATTTTTTAACACGATGGCGCTCCAGCTCATATACTTATATTATACTTACATATAATACTTACATATTTATTCATATTATTTACAAATGATTAAAACTCAATATTTTATAGCTCATTAAATATTCTTCTATTTGCTGATGATGCTTAAATATTTTTAATAATTAAATCTTCAACTGATATTTTATTTTACAATAAAATTTATATACATTTTTTACTTGGAGTCGTCAAAAATACCTTTCACTTAACATATGTAGTATTATTACTTTTTCTCGTATAGAAAATGTTATAACTTATAATTATAAAATTGATAACCATACTATCACCAGTGTTACTTCTCTAGAAGAATTAGTGACTAATTTTTAATTTAATATGTCATTTTTATTACATATTAATACTATAATTAAAAAATGTTAGAATTCACATATAGAAATACGATTATATTTAAAAATATTAACTTTTTAAAAAATTATATTTTTCTCTTGTAAGAACTTATCTTGATTTTAGCTCAATCGTTTGGTCACCTAGTTATTCTTCATATAAAGATATAATTGAAAATATTTAAAATACATTTTTTAAATTATTATGTTATAAATTAAATATACCAATCTTAAGGGACTCATTTAATTTCCAAATCTCTCAGATAAGTTTTACATATTGTGAATTAAGGAGAAATGTTAATGTCATTATGTTTTTATACGATTTATTAAATGGTTATACTGATTCTTCTGATTTATTATCTATGATTAATTTTATTATACTTGATCATTGTATAAGAAAATCCAATTTTTTATTTTTTATTCCAATTTACAAAAACAACTATAGTTTTTCAACATATTTTCTTAGAGTTTAATCATAAACTTTATCATTATTGCTAATGTTATAGATTTGTTTATGTCACGAAGTGTATTTAAACAAAATTTATATTTACCACAGATTTGGTTGTTATTAAATTTTTTTTTTCGTCAACAGCCATTCGGCTGGTATGAAGCAACTCTCCATTCATCTCGATTCTCTGCTTTACTCTTCAGGTCATGATAGAATGTTGCATTTACATAATTTTTAATTTGTTTGATGTATTCTAAGGGCGGCATACCTTTTGTGTTTTTCCCTTCTATTATGCCTTCTATCACTCTTATCATTAGCCCATTGTGTCTTAAGGAATGTCCTATAAAATTCAGTCTTCTCTTTTTCAAATGTTCTAAAAAACTTCTTTTTTCCCCAGTTCTTCTGAATACTATATCATTTGTTATATGATCTATCCAACTTATCTTCAACACCGCCTACACCAAAACTCCAATACTAGCAATTTATCTTCTTTCCTCTTTTTTTTTTTTTTTAAATTAATTTAAATTATGTACTATTATTTAATTATTTAATTATAATTATAAATGTGTGATTAATAATTAAATACTATTAATATTATTTTGTTTATTCTTATTGTCAAGGCCGCAACTACCATCACTGTGTTTTATTTCTTAATATTGCTTTTTTTCCCTTACCTTTTAGTTAAATTTTTGATATTTTATTAAGCTATGATTTTACTGCATTACTACTTATTAAAGAGTATTGTCCCGTTTAAAATAAAAAAATAATTCGCAATTATTTAAAATCACAACTTACAAATCGATGGATAGAAACTTACGGACCTTTTAAGTGGCCACCACGATCCTCTGATCTTACACCACTAGATCAGCGATTCTCAAAGTATGTTCTAAGGAACCTAAGGGTATGCTAACCCTCCTATAAATCATTAACATTTAAAAGATAAAATAACATCAGCACGCAATCAACTGAAAGCTGAACAAATTTCAGTTGCAATAAATAATTTAAACGGCTAGCTGAATAATGTTTTGTTCGCAGCGGACAACAATTCGAACAATTTATTGTTATGTATATAAATTAATTAATAACTAAATAAACTTATAACTTAAATGAGAAATAAATTTGTTATTAATTCAATAGGTTCATTAAATATAATGAAATAAATAACATACTTATTTCAGTGTTTCTGCTATAAGTTATAATTCTTGCACAAGTTAGTGAAAAATATAATTACGTGTAAAAATTACTTTAATAAATAAGGATAGAAATATCAAGTCTAAAGAATCTTAGCATTATTATTTTCAAAGTAACAGTCAAAAAACAGAAAATCAAGCCCATTTTACCTTTTTTTTTTTTTTAATTGCTGTAACTTGGTCAATTTTATATTTAGAAAGTTAAATTACCAAAATTCATCAACAAATAAGGAACAAAATAATTAGTGATGTTAAAATAGGTCGTTACCATTTAAGAAAAGAAAATTTGTACTGCGCTTGTTGAATTAAGTTAAAAAAAATGCAAAGATCATAAAATTGTGTATTTTTATGTTATATTAACCAACTAATAAACAGAATTCAAATTACAGGTCTCTACGCAAAGATATTGAGAGTTGTCAATTAACTTTTACACAATGTATACATAATAGATTAATCTAAATAATTATTGCTTATTATAACGAAGGATAGACAAATCTTGTAAAATATTAGGAATTACCAATAGACATATCAAGTATTGTTTTTATACTCATAAAAATAATATATAACTTTAATATATAAATATATACTTTAATGTGTTTTTATAGATAGATCAATACAGATTGTGAATACTATATTACACATAGAATCTCAAAAAATACTTTTTAATAGCCGTTTATATAATTTAAATTTTCATTATTTACATTACTTAAAAATATCCTAGTGTAATATTCTTGTTTACACTGTCAAATGTCAAGAAAAATTAATGTTTTCCAAGTTTTGCCAAAAACACGAATTAAATCATTTTGAAAATAAAGATTTTTAAACAACTCTTAGTTTATATTCGTTGTCATTTTATTTAAATTTTATTTATATTGTATATATAATTATATCAATTCGTATTTCTTTTTATGTAATCTTAAGTAGCATTTTATTTGACAACTTCTAAATAGAACTTGATTTAAAAATATATACATTATTTTACGTTTGTAACAGCTGTAACTATAATTCAGATGCTCAACTTAAATTCAACAAATTCATAAATTTAAATACTTCAATCATAATTTATTAATAATTATTCTTGAAACATATCATTATCTCATAAATTATGTTGATTTAACCAATTATTACAAAAGAATTCTTAACCCCGATAAATAACATGATTTTTTTACTAGACCATTCAACGATAACCAGCATTTTTAACTATTTTTTTGTTCGTTATATATTGATAGAAGACCTACAAATAAATACATATGCACACATATGCATTTTTTTCTAAAAGTTCTCCTTCATTTGTTGATATATCTATTGTGGTAGCAAATATAATATCTGATATGACTCGCTATACCAATCTATTTAGAGTTTTGTCTGGTACTATGATAGTAATTTACTTATTTTTTTTTTTTTTTGTTTGTTAGTTCTATCAATGCATTCTTTACTAATTTACCTGTTATTATTACAATTGTTTACTAACTATATCAAGATTTTGACTTAGAATTTCACTTCATGTGACATTAAACACAGTTTTTAATGCAATAGTTGTATTCTATGGTACAATATTATAAACCTAGCATTGAATCACGTCTAAGGTTCGGATTTTCATGAAAAATACTCGTAAATGCCAACAAATAATTTACTACAAATTAAAGTTTATAAATTAAAATTGATGTTTATAGTTGGATTTAATTACAAAATCTTGGTGACATGGCTTACGGTTTTAAAACTGCTCCAGATAACTTTATTTTTCAACCATGTTTATATGAAATAATTCTATCTCATTTAATATTTACTTCAGTGCTCTAGTACTTCCATAGAAAATAGCTAGGTACTTAAAATTAGATAAAAATAATAAAATAAATATAAATAGTTAAATAATTTATAAAATATATTATATTATTGTACTAGGTTGGTCAATTTTTTTTCTTTTATCTTGCGTTGTTACAGCAGCGCAATTAAAAATAAAAATATTATTTCTTATAATTTTTATAAATATTAAATTACATATAAATACCAAATAATATTGGTTGGTGCAGCAATGCAAATGCAAATTATACAAACAATATTTATAATGCCAATCTATGTGCCAACTTGAATTCCCTACTTAATGTATTTATAAATATCAAAATATTGATATCCTCCAGCTAAAATATGAACAACTATAGATTAAAAAAAAAAAAAAAAAAAAAACAAGAACAACGTACGCATAATATATTTTTTATTCTATTTATGTTTTTTGTTCTTCCCGCCCTCTTCTTAAGTTATAAACGTTCAATTTATAGTTGGAACTTTTCCAAAAATTAATAAAATAAAGCCGCGTAGCCATAACCATACCTTCATCAATTAAAGGTTTGATAAAAAAATATTAAAAGTATTAAACTCACTTGAAGTATAACCATATTCATCTTCTGGTTCTGGATCAGCATCGATTTCTACTTTTGATCTTTTTATATTACCAGCACTACATCGCATTATCTAAATATGAATACAAACAAAATTATAATGGTGAACAAACACACTATCGCAAAAATTAAATGAGTAAATGATTACATATTTTGCTTCAAAATTCAAAATTAATTTTATTAGGAAAGGTTGAGTCTAAGTTAACTTATTTCTCGTAATAAATTAGTTATGTTTTTTATGTATTAGTTAAATTATTATAATATAATATTATTAAGAATTCTTATCACAAGAAAATAAAAATTAAAGAACATAATAATAAATAATAATTTTTCAAATTTTATAAAGTGACAAAAGTGTTTATCAAATAAAAAAGGGAAATTCTTAAATTAAGTTAAAAAATAAAATATAAAAGATCCATTATAAAACTTAGACATATAATATATACATTTTGGTGCAATATAAATAATATATAATGAAGCCAAATGGTTAATGTAATTATCTTTATTAATAGGTATCTAATAATTTGTACTTGAAGTTAAAAAATATTTGAACAAGAGTATAAAAAAAATTGAATTAGCATTAAACATTTCTTAACATATGAATTAGATATAATTTTACTTAATTTATCTATTTAATTAAAATGGAGTTATAAAACAGTAGTATAGTTTTTAGTTTATATGAATGAATTTCTTGAACTATTTATTACCTAGTTTAAACTTAATCTGCCGGCTAACTTGAACACAGCATAATGTGCTTAATATCCGAAATTATTCGTGTTAAACGCCTAGTTCCCATAAAATAACTAAAATGCTATACTATAATATTCCTATTTCAGTACTTAAGTTAAAAACATATTGAAAATATGCTACAAATATCTACATTCCTATATTCTCAACCATTGCAATTCACTGATCTTTAATTTCTTCGTTAACATTATTCCAGGTAACCCCATAATACACCTAAAATAAACACGGTGTGGTGAACTATTAACTAACTGGGCATAACATATTTCCACCAAAAGTGTACTTTTCCCTTTTCCACCAAATTACATTTTATTTATATTTATATTTATATTTTTTTATTTTTACCAAATGTTATTTAGACTAATACCCGTTCCCACCGAATCAGTTTCTATATCACATACAAGTACATGAATTATTTTTTTATTAATATGCAAAAAAACTATCCATAAATGGAAATACTCGTAAAGTAGTATAACATAAAGTTAGTAGACTGTCTTTGATTTATCTCATTTAATCGAAATCCAAAGTACATATAAGTACATGAGGAAATTCGGTTTTTAGTACTTTGTTTAAGTTTATGATTTATAAATATATAGATTATATTATGATACATAAATATGATAATGCTTAACCTCTTCGGTTAGAATATTTATAAGCCTATTTTATTTTAATGTTAAAATGAGCGAACAAAATTAAACTCGTTGCAGAGTTCAATATGGACCGTATCAATATCTAACACACATAATATTGTGCGAAACACGTTGAACTAGTGAGTTTTGTTATAGAAATTGATTGAGTCTGTTTATTTACAGTCGATTAGAGCACCACGTTATAATTTTTGTTGTAATCACTATATAGTAAAATATAGCCAATATAGTAAAAAATATATGTTAAGTAACCTTTTTAAATACCATAAATTTTACTGTAGAAACTTATTAGTAGTTCTATTACATTTACATCATTGTCTTTGGATTTACAATGAGGTCCATTTACACATTCATAATAAACATGCTCTTTAATTAAAAACGGATAGCCCATGAATTTAATTAGCAATTATTCACGTTCAAGTGTAAACCTATACATACAATTTTCTCTTGTCGACATACTTTTTTGTTAATTTTTAAATAATTTCAACCGTTATTTACAAATATATACACATTTATTTATTACCTTCCTATTTTAATGATTTGACTACAACAAAACCAAAACCTAATTCCAATAAATTTGTTGAGAATGATTTAATACTGTTTGTATTCCCTTGAATGGAATTTTTACTAACTATAGATGATTTTTCTAAAACTTTTAAAAATTATGATTACCTATATATTTAAATATTTAATATTTATGGACCATAGACTATCAATAAAATATTTTTTTGGAACAAAACATGTAAGGATTAGTAATGAATAATGATGTCATGATGATAAACAAAGAACATGAAACGTTGCAATTTACCCAATTAAATAATACATTAATAACATTAAAGATAGTAAAACATTCATTTATTTACTTATCCTATAAGCTATAAGTTACCTATCAATAGATTTAAAGGAATAATAATATAAATCTAATTAAATAAATACTTATAATTTTATTATTTGTATATTTAATACTTTACAGAAGTTATTTATAAAAACATAAAGTTATATCTCAAGTATAATGTACCGTAGTTTGAAGTTAATAGGAACGGTTTTAATAAACCGTTTTAAAACTGTTTTATAAATTATGAGCTCAATTTTTATAGTATCGATATTACGGAAACTGTTGTTTTATATAGATCACATGCATAGATATATAATATAGGTACCAAAAATAATATTTATAACATTCGCGTAATAACGATTGTCATACATCGGGGAGAAACCAGTATTTCCCACCTTTTAATAAACCGTAAACGTGTATTTTTTAAGAGAATATTATCTGATTTCTGAGTACAAAATAGTAAATAAATATTTACTATTTACTGATTTTAGTATTTGATCATCGGACAAAGAATTTCCGACTTTTTAAAATTTCTTAGAGTAGGGCATTTGCCATAGTCTGCACCTCCCCCAAATGACGACACTGATCTATTTTCATCCATCTTTGTTGTTACCCATGCGCCACAGGCTTAGAGTCAATCGGTCTTATCACCACTTTGTACGGCGTCATTTTCGTTCTCCATGATAGCATCTTTATCTTGAATAGGGATACTAGTCCAAAGTAGCATTTACTTACTGCTACCAGTCTTAGTTTTATTTCTTCTTGACTGTCAGCATTTTCAATAATTTTTACCCCTAAGTATTTGAAGCTTGCTTCCCTTTCAAAGTTATAATTATTCACTTCCAAATATCTTGCTTCATGATTGTGTCTCGTGACTATCATGTACTTTGTCTTTCCCTATTTCACCATTGATCCAATTGTTTCATTATCTTTTATCAGTTTACTATTAGTTCTCTTAAGATCTTCCTCACTCTCCGCTATTATTTTAACTTCGCGTAAACTACCACTATCAGTTGCTGGTCATTTCCTATTTTTATTCCTGTTGCTCCAGCCAAGGTTTCTCTCATAGCTGATTCTAAGGCTATATTAAAAAGTGCTGATAACAAGGCATCTCCCTGTCTTAAACCTGTCCTTACCTCAAATTTTTCTGATTCCTTCCCTCCGTACTTTACTTTGCATTTCGATCCATGCACAGAGTAAGGCATTGGTCGAATAAAATATTATTTGATTGATTAATTGAATAAAAAATTATTCTTTGTTGATTTATTCTTAATTTTATTATTGATTTTTATTTTTATTCATTATTTTAATTTGTATTATTATTCGTTATTCATTACTTGGAGATTTTTATTTACTATATTTTATTCATTATTCAGTTATTTGTTATTCATTATTCGTTAATCCCTATAATCATATAAATAATAAATTTAAATCCTAAATTACGATAAATAATAATAATAGACTTATTATTTAGACTTAAATAATATATATATATATATATATATATATATATATATATAAATGTTATTATTCTTGATACGCATACGTTATTATAGTTACTATAACGATAATTGTTATAATTATTACTACAAATTGTTATTATTGCTGTTATTACTTGAATTATTATTTAATTATTATTAAAGTCTTAAATTATGTGAAATTTACGTAAAAATTTATTTGGTAATTTACCGATGTATCTACAACGTCAAAAGTGATAACATTTCTATAATATTTTTCTGCTAGTAACATGTTTAATTACCAAAATTTAGGTCTTGATAGGGCACAACTCACAACCACATGATTGCGGTAAGTATAATACATAAGTTAAAAAAAAAATTAATATCATTCATGATTTTAACGAATAAATTTATTCAGTACTCCACAATTATTCAGAATAAAAAATCATTATTTATTCATAAATAAATTAGTTATTCATGCTTTTATTTTTTATTCTTTATTTTGATTTGTTTTTTCCGAACTCTGCCTATACACACATGCTCGAATCATTCTTATGATCTTTCTTGGTATCCTCAATTGATCCATTACTTTTCATAGCCTTTCTCTATTCACTGAATCATATACAAACTTGAAATCCGCAAACAGTAGATAGACATCTTTGTCAAACTCATGACTTTTTTTCAATAATCTGTTTGACTGTTTATATGATATATATATTATTTGAACCGTTTAAAAAAATCTTAGTTTAATAAGTTGGGGACTAAAATATATATACATATATATATAATGAAATATTCCATTCATATTATTTAATCCACACTAGTTTATAAACTACAAAAATTTACAAACATTGAAAACATTTCATATAGGTGGTTTTAAGACGATGTGGACTATAAAGTTTAACTATCAAAATAGTTGAAGGTAATTTTCAAAATAAGTATATATTGAGATTTATTAGTTCGTTGATGTTTAAAATTTCGAAATATGAACCACTTACTTTACATGTAGACATGGAGAAACTAGTAATTTAAATTTATGCAATTTGTTTATTAATAATAAATCTATACAGTGACACAACTAGGGGTGGGGCTTAGGGGTTGTAACCCATCTTACATTTTTATTGGTTTTTACAAATTCTACATAGGAAAAAAATGATTTATCTTGAACACGCGAAACGGCTGATTAATATGAAATATGAATATTATTCGTATTATAATTGATAACAATAATAACATGACGATATGGAACGTTTTGTAACGTTCCGTTCAACTTTAAAACATCAATAACTTGCTACTACAATTCCTCGACAGTCGATTATATAATACAGTAAAACCTCGATAAGACGGAACTTCGGTAAGACGGAAACCCCGGTATTACGGAACATTTTTTTGGTCCCATTTCAAATTACATATAAATAACTAACCCCGTCTAGACGAAAACCTCGTTAACACAGAAAAATGTCATGGTCCCAAGCGATTCCGTCTTATCGAGGTTTTACTGTACTTTTTTTTGTGGTATCACAATATGAAATAGAATTTAAACAGTTGTAACACGAACGGATCAAAACCACCCTGGATCCATGCACATTATTATCAATTCTCCGTTACCACTATAACATACAACATTTTTCGGTTGATGCTCTTATTATTTTACTATATTATCTGTATTATGTGTATTATGTACAAAAAATAATTATTATTGTTATTTGATATAACAACAGATTATATGAATAATATATAATATTATAGACATTATAATATATTATTATTAGGGTTGAGATATTAATGTCCTTAAAAATCGCAAAAAATTACATTGCATGTACATAAATATTTTATTTTACTTTATATATTAATAAATAAAAAATTATTCTTTATTGTTACACTGAATCACGAGAGCGTTCATGTTTTCAAATAGCAATCTCCTCCGTCTATAAGTTTTTGTAGATAGAAAAGCTCCTTTCTAAATCTACTGAAGTTATAGGTGAGTATTTAAAGTACATAAAATCACTTGCTGTAAGATTATCCGGAAATTAATATTGTGCACCTTCTTATCCATTTAAAATATTTTCCAAAAATGAACGTAACTTAAAATTATCGAGCTTACTTAACGGAATATTACATGAAAGAAAGGCACGAGTTAAATCTAAAAAGTATTCTGACCTATTTGTGTGACCTGATATATAGATAATAAAACTTTGTGACATATTTTTTCTTCTTCTTCTATTCTCCTTTTTGTTGTACTCCATTTATATGTTTGTCTCTCGATATATGTTTTTGTATGGTAAAAACGTTTTTCAGCAGCAACTTTTTCATTACATATCTTACATAACAACGCTAATCCGCCGGTAGAAAAAATCTATAGTCTATAACCTTTTATTTTAAATTCAAACACACCAAAAATGACTTAAAAACCCTTAAAATGTCCTAAAAAATGAGAAAAATGACCTTAAAATCAAAAATTGTCAAAAAATGCAAAAAAATACAAAATAAAATTTCTTATTCTTTTTTAAAAATACCTAAAACATATTTATAACAAAACGAGCATCGTACAGAAAATTTCAGAAAAAAATTCAAAGTGCATCGAAATCCCAGCTCTAATTATTATAAAATATTGTATATAATATATATCTGTATTATACGGTGGTGGTGATACTAGTGATGAACAAGTTCCTTGATTAGTTGAATTTGATTAATGGATACAAGTTACACTAGCATTTTGTATCTAATTAATTCTAATGACAAAATAACAAGATTTAGATATGTACTTTGAAATTTACTAGATTTATATTTATTTATTCAAGAAAATACTGATATCTACTACTAAATATTTGTTTGTATAAGAGTCTCACAAAAAAAAGTGTACAATGTAAAAACACATTTCAATTACTACTTGGGCTTGAAAGTCAATGTCCCGAAAAATATGTATTAATTTTCAAATGCCAAAATAAATAATACTTTTTCTAATTAATTTTAATACATTTACCTAAGTTTATAAGTAAATCAAATTTTTATATTAAATAATAAATCAAATAATCAAATTAATAATATAATTCTATTTTTATGAAAGAGTTAGCTAATATTTATTTTTATTACATATATGGCAACAATTTTCACCATTTTGTTTTGTTTTTTTATTCATATTGCACAATAAAAAGTTAATAATTATATAAAATAGTACTAAACGGTAACACAACAATAATAATTATTTTTTGTACATAATACAGATAATATAGTAAAATTATAAGAGCATCAACCAAAACATGTTTTATGATATAGTGATAACGGAGAATTGATAATAATGTGCATGGATCAGGATGGTTTTGATCCGCTCGTGTTGTAACTGCCAAAAATAGATGAGGATCCGTATTTGGTTTTTCTCATTAAATATTATAACCATTCTAAATAAATACGCGACCACTTCATCACCTATAACGCCGATGGACGAAAACATCTGTAATTCCCTCCAGCCATTCAATAATTGCACACCTCTCTATCAAATTGTGTGTGGTGTGTTAGTGAGTGGTCATATAATAATTGTATGATATCAAGTATCGGCCAATTATTATAATTATTATTATTATTATTATTTCAATGAGCCAGTTTTCATATATTTCTGTAAAATATTATACTGGCTCACTTTTTGTGCAGCTGTTCCGTCGTTCACAACATATACGAGTAGACTGGTGCGTCTTGCGACGACGACCAATTATCCAATTGGTCAGTAATGTATCATTTAAAAACCATATTATTATTAATATTATACCTAATCCGGTATTCGTCAGTTGCGTATTACCCACTATTTTTATTATTTTGTAAGTCAGCGCGTGGAAAATACTTCCGGCGGCCCTCGTGAAGTAAATGATGAATTATAAATTATGATTATCCGTTGTGATCTATGTCTCCATGTCTTATAATTAACAATATGCTAAGGTAAAAGTTTTACGCCAGTACGAGCTTTTCTCCACCATATAAAAATGTATTAGAATATATTTATATTTTATCCATATCATCTCGTTCTTGTTTTGAATCCTTTTATTTTATTTATAAAATAATTAAACACAATATCAAAATCCAATTACTCCGGACCCAAAAGAGTCTCGGTATTTGATTGGCGATCCATATGCCTTTAAATGTGATCGTCAACGGGCACTCGACAGAACCTTCTGTAGTGAGAAGTCGCACAGTTTAATTTGTAATTTAAATATTTTACTCATAAACCTAACTTAATCTTACTTCCTTATCCCCAACAAACATCTGTAGAAAATGCTTATTTTTTCCAAATTCACAACCCCCCCTCAAACCAGGGGTGGATAAGGCCGCCGGGACACCGAAATTTTCCCGGTGGGTCGCTGCTTATATTGACAAAAATGGGCCGATGAAAAATATTACTACTAATAGTATTATACATGTACATATATGTATTTACAGTAGCATTACATAATTTTAAATGTAATTTATTTTATGTATTATTTTAATTGAATGATCAAAAATTAAAAATTAAGTTTTATTCAAAATTTCGAATGCAATTTTTTTTTTTTTTTTAATGCATATTTTAACATATTAGTGCATATACTTGTGCATGTTAAAGGTTTTTTAGCGCATATTTGATTGATTTTTAATGCATATAATTCCGTGCTATAATGATAACTGATTTTTCAGATTTAAATTATCATATATAGTCACTAATAAAACCCCACGGCAAAGTCAATTACTGATATATCATGTTTTTCCAAAAATTATAATTATATTATATTATATTATATATTATAATTATATGTATATAACATATAATTAATTATATGTTTTAACTGGTGAGGGAGAGGGGTGTCAGAGTTTTGGTAATAATAAATGTATTATATTACCTCCCTAGGTTTATTTCTAGTTACGCCACTGGACAGACTCAAATGGATTTTGTGGAAATGGGTATGAATCAAAATATAATTTGATGGAAACAGGTATTTGTTAGAAAAGGAAAATGTACACTTTTGGTGGAAACGTGTCCCGACCTATTGACTGATTCCCACTATACTTTACATCATGAAGTTCCATCAATTAATGGCCTCAGAGCAGAAACGAGTTTAGGAAAGTTGGGATTCAGGTGACTCATAATTAATTTTTGTTGACAAATTCGACCTCTTGAAGATTTCTTATATTTTTTAAATGTGCCAATTATAGGTTGAAGTTCATACGCAATCTAGTTAAATACCTCAGTTGTCACCCTCCAAATGACCCTACTAGTTTGATTTTATAGTAGAATATAACATCTCTATGCCATATCCCATGTAAAACGTAATCCTCCATAAAATAAAATAAATTTTAATGTTTTCAATGATAATTATGAATAAACTTAAAAAAACATACTGGTTGATCATATTGTGTATTTTTGTTACAAACAATACATGTATAATCCAGTTTGAGCCTATATAATAAATGGCGTCTTGAAATAACCTAACCCATAGTTCTCTATCTATGGATCCAGAGTCCATCTCAGAGTCCAGATCTGTCTCAATATAAAATATAATTACTTAGTTTTATTTTTTATTATTACTGTCTACAAAACGTATCACGTATGTTTGTTGTAATATATATATAGACTAATGATGCGATTTTTAAATACAAAACAATAAAAAGTGAGCATTTTATCAAAAAACCATCACAAATAAATTTAAAAAAATTAATAGTCATACTATGTATTTAAAAGCCTTACTTCTTGTCCTGAATGAATTCTAATACGTCCTTCATTGTCTCTATTATCATCATCGTCATCACTATCTTCACTTTTGTTGGATTTTAAAGATCTCTTACGATCGAATGAAGTCATTGTTTTCGTTAGGGTCAATGAACTTTTGCGAAATGAAATATTTTTATCGTTGTCTTCAGATTTCTGTTGCCATGATGAAATTTTCTAAAATGTGACAAAAATCGTCATTAAAATTTAATTAAATATAACAAAAAAGTTTATCTTTACATTTTTCACACTATTCACAGGTTTAATGGGCTCTTGTAATGTTTTATAGGAATTTTCGATAACCGAAGATGATTTTAATTTTTCATATTGATCTTCTGACTAAAACATACATTTTATAAATACCATATCCTAAAATATAACTTTAGAAACTTACCCAATACACGAGAGATTGTACGAGAAAAATCACTGGGTTACCAGCCGAACGAATAACTGCAACCGCCTGATCGTGATTAGCATGCCGAACATCAGTTCCATTTACTTCCAATATTCTATCTCCAGTCTGACGTTACAAACATACGCGTAATAATTGAATACAAATTTATTGTATAATACAGATTACTTACTTTTAACTGGCTATCTTGACCCGCAGGGCTTTGAGGAAGTACATTTTTTATAAATATACCTGATATTGCTGCACTATTATTTGTGTTAGTACTATTAAAAAAATCTACCTAAATAATATAATATAATTAAAATCCAATTCTGAAGAATTAAAAACTAAAAGTATATTTTTTTAATATTTATCTACCTTTCCTCCAACAATACTAATTCCTAAGCTATTGTTTGAATCTCTTTGAACAGTTACTTCTCGTTGAGGACCCCAATGTTTAGCTAATAATGAAGCAGCTGATTGTTGTTCAGATACAGTCATAGTGAATACGCTTCCTTCACTTCTATCTAGACCAATGCCTGTACTTGAAAATCGATAAATACGAGTTGGCGGACCATCAAAAGATTCAAATTCAGCACTTCCCAAACGTAATAAATTTTTATCAAAAGATGAATAATTATCCTTTTCAGTGAGTCGTTCTAACTCTTCAGTTTTGGCCTTTAATAGTTTATCAATTTCTTCTTCGTTTAAGTTTGATGCTATAGATACACTTTCGTTAAACTCGGATAATTTAACAGTTTCTTCACGTAATTTTTCATCTAATTTCTTTATGAATTGATCACTAGTAAACTTTGCGCATACATATTTGTCGCTAGTTTTGAATACCTTGTAATAGTTGATAACGTTTTCAAAACTTACATCATTTATTGGTTCATTATTATTCCAACTTTTAGTCCGTTGAACTAAATGACATTTTGTACATAAAATACATTCGGATTTAGATTTTTTCGATATGATCGACTGTAAAAATGGATCATTAGACTTAGATCTAGACACCTTAGCGTGGGGTTTATTGCTAAGTATACGATATTCAGAGTCTTGTAATTCACAGAATGGCGATCTGTCAAAACATATAACATGTATGTTAATAATGATAAAACCTAAAATAAATGATCGATGGTTTAATTTAATAATTTGATTATTAATGAATTCACAAGGAAACCCCCTAAATAAATTATGACTGTAATATAAAAAAAAATCACTGTAATTAATATGTTGAAAAAAAACATCTTTTAAAAATATTTACATTTTTACTACATATAAGTACATTGCTTTATCGATAAAATGTACTGTAAGGTTATTTTTATTTTATAAAGACTAATAATTTTTTCTGTTAGTGATTGAATCCTTGTCCTTTAAAAAAAAGTAGTAAGAAATAAAATTGGAAAGTTTTCAAATTTATCTCCAGATTTATTAAACTGTCTGGTATAATTAAGACGATTTAAATCACAAAAATAATGAAGTACATGATATGTAATCCAATTTAAGTACAAAATTGAGAGATTATAGTTTTTGTATTTAACCTATTTTTTGGTTTTTGGTCATTATTATAACAATTGGTTTTTACAATATATAAGTAATTAAAATTTTATGCTGTACTATACAAATAAATTTGAAATGTTACTAAATAATAATCGAAAACCAAAAATTTTGAATACTAAAAAAAATTATCAATATAAATGTTGTACTACATTACTTAAACGCTATAAATACTAACATTAGTTTGTAATATAAATGTGCAATTTTTAATTTAAATAGAATATGTATATTTTTTAATTGCTACAATCTCAAAAACCTTATATATCTGATTACTAAAGAACAATAGAAACAAATCGAATGCAATCCCAGCCTAATTAAATTAATTACATAAAAATAAATAATCAAAGATTGAATCTTTTAATTTTTAGCAACAAGTAAAATGGTTTAGAGATGTCTTATACATTATTTTCAAGCTATAAGTAACAAAATTGCTATTTGTATAAAAATAATCTTAATAACATGTACATAAATTTTACAATTTCCTAGTTTTTTCCGTATTTCCTTATATCAAGAAAAATTATAAAAATATTAAAATAACCTACTTTAGTAGTTTCTGCTACTAAACTAAAATCTTAGGTACGTTTTTATAATATAAGCTACTTGAAACTTTATACCATAAATATCTAACTGACAACCCGAGTGTGTTGGAATAATAATGAACACAAAAGACCAACTAACCATATTCCTCGCATTGCTTGAAATCTAAAAAACGTACATAAAACTACGATAGATTAAAAATACTAATTAAAAATCGGAACCCTAACTATATATATAAATATATATTGCATTATATATTATGTATTCATAAATAAGGTTTCATTTTTATAATAGCTACGCTAAGGCAATTTAACATAATATATACCTACCTACTTATGTCTCAAAGTTTCAAAAAATATAAATAAATATTTAGTTCCATATAATTTTTTTTTAAACTTTATATGGTATATACAATAATTAATTTTTTGACATATGAAATTATTACTCAGTTTTAATAATTGTTAACCGTTGTTTCACATTTAATACATAAGCAAGAATAATAACCCATGACAAGAAAATACGATTAAATCAACAAACTTATCTGATATTGACAGGGTTGGAATATTTTTATGCAATATTCATAAGGTTATAAATATTTATAGAAAAAATAACAAAAGAAATATAATTAACAGATTTTTTAAAGAAGAACAACGAAAACCTTATTATAACGTATTATAAAAATAAAATAAATTATTAATTTTTATAAAATTTTACTTTATTCCTAAAACTACAACTATGACTTTGCAACTCACCCCCACCCATGAAACATTTCTAAGTCCGTCCCTAGTTAGACGCCGGATTCAAATGAATAATGTGCAATTCCTAAAGTGTGTTCCGCGGAACCTAAAGGCTCCATGGAATAATCTCAAGGATTCCGCAAGAAATATATGAATATTGAGAATAGTAATTATAATAAATAAAAATCATGATCACCATAAGCGTGCGCACAGAGTAGTCAGGGTAGGCACTTGATTACTTGACTACCTTCCCTCCCTCACCAAAATATTTAATATTATCACAATAATAAAAAACCATATTATATTCAACCACTTCCAAACGTCCGTAAACGGTAAATACATGTATAAGAGTATTAGAAAAATATGATTATTAAGTTAAATGAAATTACCCCATCCAAATTTGTTGTTAATATTAAATGTTAATGTGTTATGTATGACTACCCTGCCAGTAATTTCAGTGCACGTTTATGATGATCACTTCTTTAAAACATTTTTCAGATTATTGGTTTTTCAATAAATAATTAAAAAATTGGGGTTACGTTGGAGTTAGAGACATTGGGGTTCCACGAAATACAAACAACTTCCTAAAGGTCCCCACACGCTGCCGCGGTGGCGGTGGCGATTATTATCCAGTACAAGCATAATATATTTATATATTACATATAATAATTGTATAGTTAATTAATTAATTCCTATGTCATTGATTAATTGACGATTAATCTATATAGTACGTTAGTAGGTACTATATTAAGTACTTATACTATTGTACATATTATATTCCTTACATACAATATTGTATTGATTATTTTTATATGAATTATTTTTAATTAAGTTAAATAGTATATTAAACTATAACTTGAATAGTTTCTAGGAAATAATCGAAGTCTAGACTAATATACACCATATATATTAGATAGTATAGGTACTATTAGCGTATATTTGATAAGTCAATTGAAAATACCGCTGCGCGGTGGCAGTAAAATTGAGCATGCTGTGGTTTTTATAAATATCGCAGCGGCGATATTTTACCGCTGCAGTGTGCGGACTCCCATTACAATACGTGTGTACAAATCAGGGACTGGAATCAAACCGAAAAGAACCGGTTCTGAAACCCAAAAAACCCCTAAAATATTAAGAACCGGAACCGAATTTTTAAATTTTTAAATAACCGGAATCGAACCGGAACCTATACTTAAAATGAAAAATATCGGGTTTCATAAAAACTATCCATTTCATTTATTCTTAAAATATTGAATTTTTAGTTTAATTCTTACTTTTATAATATATTATAATAAAAGTAGGGAACACCCATTGATAAGCATCGATCGACATATGGTCATTCTGGTGGTGATGTAATGCTTCGTGGTAATACGTGGTATTATGAAAACGGCTCTGAATCTAATAATAGTATTTCTGTATATAAAATTATTGTTGTATTTATATTTATAATATAATATATTATAATATATTATATTGTCAACAATAATCCGTATACCACCTTTCTACTATCTACTTTTACAATTTATTTCTGTAAACAGTGTATATAGCTCGACAAATAGTAAACAGTTTCAATTAGACGCAGTGGCGGCGCCAGGATTTTTTGCTAGGTAAGGCCAACGGGAGGCCAACAATTATAAGGTAGGGCCACCAAAAATGAAATTTCAACAAAAGATAAATACCATTATTTAATATTTTTTGCTTATATAAAATGACTATATTATTATGTATAAGGTCAGGTCAGTGGTAGGGCCACTGGTAAGACCATGGCCCTAACTGGCCCGTCCCTGGCGCCGCCAATGCTCAGAGTCTAGGGCATAAACAATAAAAATTATTATTTGTGTATAGGAAGGAATGTATATATTATTTTCAGATATACATTTATTCATTTATAAATGAATTGGTATTTTTGTACCGTACTACCTACTCTGTTTATAATTATGACATATTATATAATACCTTGACAATTTAAGGATTGTTAGCATTGACTTGTGAATGGTTATTGTATATATTTTGTATACCTAATTCGTAGACAATAAACATGATGATGGTATTATCGATATTGCTGATTGGTAACACATGTACAACTATTTTATGTATAGGTACCTATCAAAAAATTAAACACGTCGTACTATAAAATTTTTTTTTTTAAATTACTTTTGGAACCCCATTAAACCGAAACCCTAGCCCTAACCCTTATTTTGAATTTTTCAAAAACTGGAACCATAACCGAAAAAACCAAAAGGTACCAGTCCCTGGTACAAATTTAACGCCACCGCGACAGTGTGTGAGGACCTTTAAGGGTTCCTTCATAGTAAACGTTTCACATCCGCTGCATTACATTATAACTTTATCTCGCTCGACCAATCCAATTTGTTTTGGCTACTTATTATAATTATTCCTCAATAATCAATGTTTTAAATAAGGACTGAAAAATTATTATAGAATTTGTTAATTTAACATAACTTGCAAATAATTACACATGAAACAGATTAGGCTTTGTCATAGCTCTACTACAATTCCTATACATAACTCACTACTAGACCAAACTATCCTATATTATCATGGCTTTGCTATCATTAAATTACTTTTTTAATTCAATTCCATAATTATTATATTTTGAACTGCGAAATATATTTTTAAATTAAAATACATATTCTTAAAATATTTATAAAATATATATATATATATATATATCTTCATATGCATTATAAAACCATGCCAGAGAATTTTTCACACTCATTGATATTATCTTTTTAACCATTAATCATTCAATGGTATTTCTCAACAAGTGACACCTAATTTTATTTTCAAATAAATCTAAAATGAAAATACTTGTTCGAAAGAATTGAAAAAGCTTATTGATTTCTCCAAGTTAGTTCGATTTTATTTAATAGTTTATTTACTACCCATTTTATTGCCACATATTATTTTTTTTAAATATTTAGGCAAGTATGCATATACAATTTTAAATTTCATACAGAAAGAATGTAACATTGTACTGCTCAGCATAGGTTTTTCAAATTTAAACTATACCCAAAAAGTAAAAAAGTTTGTATAGAATATTATACTTATACATAAAAATATGTATGAATACAAATGTGAAAATTAATTTTGGGAGGGAGAAATCAGATGTATTTAAGAATCAAAATAAATCTTTTATCTACAGGTGATCAAACTTCTGTTTATCAAATGTTCTATGTATCAAAAATGCATGGTTGATTTAATTTTATGATATTATTAAAATATTATTTGCTAAAATAATAAGCTACATAATAATCTATTATAGTGTTATTAAGTTTCTTTAGTTTTTATGACTCACAAAATATTTATCTTTTTTAACTTAATATATCTAATCTAAAAATCATACATATGTAATACAAATAAATATTGAAAATTAAATTATTAAATATCTAAATAAATGTAAATTTATAACTATATAAAAATATGCATCAAAAATAAATGCAGCCAGAGAGCATATATAACTTATACATTTTTGATAAAATTAATTCTCACTTGTAATAGACAGGAAAAATCCTTCATTTTAAAGCAAACAAATAGAATAACAAAAGAAAAGTCAATATAAGCGAAAATGTTATTGAGTAAGAAACAAAATTAAAAGCATGTATAAATGTAATCAAAAAATATATTTTAATAATGCGTATAGATATATCACATAAAAGATATGAGTTACATAATTTATGGATGAATATCATAGATTTATAACTCAAATGTTTATTTTATATGTACATTTTAATAATAAATTTTACTTTAAAGTGTTTACAAATTAATATATTTATTGTTTTAAAAATACAATAAAAAATAAATAGAAGTTATAGTCAACAAAATATACTTCATACTATTTTAACTATAAAAATATTTGGTTTAAAAAATTAAGGATATCATAGACATAAATAAAAATTGGGTCGGATGAAGCCATATAGTACAGTTTTAGTTTACTTAGAAACTAGTCACCCTCTAAATTGATTTTTTGCTTGTTTATAAAATTATAGTAGTTACACTTGTATAGTTGTATGTGAAAAGTCTTAAGTAATTAAAAATTTTGAATATAGGCTTAAATCTTGCTAGACTAATATACATACTTAGAACCACTGATCAGAAATTTGTTTTTAATTTCTCTACATTTATAAATAATTAGCAAAAAATATTTATTTAAAATTTGTGGTAAGGAATGTGCTTTATTTACGAACAAAAACAAAACTCCAAAAAAAACTTTAGTTTAACATTGATAAAATAAAGCCAATCAGTGACCAACTAAGAAATTGTATTAGAAATTGATGATTAACATAAAAAAAATAAAAATAAAATTTATATATTATTAATAAAGCAGTTTAAAAAAAAAAAATTGAACCTACTCAACTTGCTAATAACAAATATCAAATTTCATAAATTATTTTAAAAATAATATTAATAAAAAAAAAAAAAAATGTTAATTAATTGTAACAATTTTCATTATTTATATTTTAATATAAAAACTTCAACTTTAGTTGAATAATAAAAAAAATTTGTCGTGACTAGTATAAAAATATTGTATAATTTATATATGATTGAAAGAAAAAAAGTTCAAGTTGCCACTGAACCTAATAACTTCCTTTTTACTACACAGAGTTTAATATAATAATAAAATAAATAAATATATATATTGTGGTAGGGTAATTATGTAACAGTTTTATAGGAATTTGTATTATTTTAAAAAAAAATGTATAATACTTTTTAATTTATTAATGTAAATATAAAATAATATTTCTTATATTAATTGTAAAATGTGATTTATGATATTCACCGAGTAAAGAAATGCTTTAATTTAAAAATATTTTATTTACTGTAACTACTTAAAAAATAAGATTTACCTTGGAGTACACCGAGTTACATTAGGTACAGTTTTACTTCGAATAACACAGATATTCTTAACTGCCTCAGGACGTACAAAACGTATACTGAAAGAGTAGAAATAAAAATAAAAATAAAGTATATTGATTTTCATTATAAGTTAATCTTATTAAGCCATTAATTAGATTATTAACAATTTGTTTTTTTTTTAATTATATGGCTTCACTTACGGAATATGCCCTGTTAGTAGATTAGCTCTAGACAAAATAGTCTTCACTTGTGCAGGAGACACATACTTCAATGATTCATTATTAACAGAAATTACAATATCGCCAATTTTTAGCCTGCAATCTTGTTCAGCAGCACCATACAAATTTTCAATTTTCAAACCAATATGATCGCTAAATGAACTTCTACGCAGACATATACCCAATGGTAAAGAGCCTTTGGTGAGTGTAATCTCTTGCACATCTTGTATAATATTATCTGTTTCATCCATTGAACATATTTCTTTAAAAGTTTCATTGGTTTTCTAATTATAATAACAAATCTATGATGAGATTCGATTTCATTTTTATTTTAAGTTAATTAAGACTATGGATATGCATAAAATTATTAAGTTTTAAATAACTATTTCAAATACAATTGGTACAATTTTGATGACTTGCCTTTAGATCATCAAAAATAATAGGTGATTCAGGACAACTGTACATAGAGTAGCAATCTTCATCATCATCTTCATCATTGATGCTCATTTTTTTTTCATCTGAACTATCACCCTAGAAAAATATATATAGCTGAAGACTCGAGTATGGAACTCTTCCGATACCAATAATTTATATTTTATATCATCTTAGATAATCTTTGTCAAGTTCACCAGTTTAATAATAAAAGCATATATCAACTAATGCATTTATAGTCGATTAAATTGTTTTAACAAGAATATTCAATTTTGTGAATTATAACAGTGCTTCTCAACCTGGGGGCCATGGTAATATGACTGAGAGGGAGGGTGAAATATTTATTTTATTTAAAACTCTTGAAACCGAATTTAATGAAAAATAACTTACTAAATTTTGGTTATGATGGCCGCAAGAGTATATTATAATTTCAAAAGTGGCTTTACTTATATTAATAACTTTCGTATCGACATATCTTTGTAAAACTGCATTATCACAACTTCAAATTATAAAAAACAAACGTAGATAATGCATTTCACAATAATCTTTAGAAGCAAACTTGCATATTTCAATTTCAAATATCACACCTGATATATATATGCAGTGCTCGACTCGACAAAATTAAAGAAGGGGACTCTATTTACTTTAAAAAAAGAACGTCCCCAAAACTAGCTGAGCGTTATGATTATAGCATAATAATAGTAGGGGGACGCTAAAATTTTTGAAAATTAGTTGGGTACTCCTTCCCCCTGCGTCCCCCCCACAAGTCAAGCACTGTATATATGTTATGCAAAAATATGTAAGCCCAACTGTCACATTAATAATTATAATAGTTTTTTTTCATTATTGTTATTATTATTAACCTAGCCTTTGTTTGAAACCAAATCAACATAATTACTAAATATTTTTGTATTGCTTTATAGTTATTACCAATTTTTTTTTGTTTATATATGTTTTAAGTTTTATACAATTATAAGATTACATTTCAAAAACATTTATTTTTTTTTACATTTTAATAATTTATTTGTGTGAAATAGAGTATGTAAATTCAGTATATTATTAAGAAAAAATAATTAATGATTTTGATTGAGAGGAGCCTTGAAAGTTTTACATTAAATTTAAGAAGCCCTGTAACAAAAAAAGGTTGAGAAGCACTGATATATAATATCCAAATACAAATTAACCCAGCGTTAGTCGCGCTATGGTCAAAATGACTGCACTTTTTTTACATGTTATTCTATATATACGAAATTAAATATACTTGAAATATTATAATATCATTTTTAATAACATTAATGGAAGGTATAACAAGTATCAATGGTTAAAATATAAAACATAAATGTTTTATTAAAAATGTAAAAAACAGTACTGTCATTTTGACCATATTGCGACTAACGCCGGGTTAAAGACATAAAAAAACTCAGGCTATGATAAATTTATGATATATTACTATGTATAGAAGGAGAAAGAAATAATAGGAAAGAGCAACAAAAACACAAATGCGCCATCCATGAGCCACATTGCGTCTTGGGAAAGTTTAATATTACAATAGTAGTTTTTAAAAACCTATAGCAATGTAACCACGGTTTTAGAGTATTTGTGTTTTTATCGACTTGTGCAAATAACAAAAAACGCATTTTTGTTTTCATTTTCATCCAAAAATTGCATTTAATAAAAATAAAAAACAATATAACAAAAGAAAGAAATCTTTATCTAAATAATTATACTAAACTTAAAGAGAAAAAAAAATATACTAAGTGTAAACGAGCGGCGACATGGACTGGCAGTTGTGTTTTTCGCTTCAACTACAATTTTACAAATTTACATTTATATATATATATATGCAATTTGTTTATTAAAATAACTAACCAAACACCCGAAATGTAACTTTATACTAATATTGCATTTAAATTTTAAAGAATACTTTTTTAAATATATATATTAATTAATAAGGCACATTAAAAGTGTAATGAGAATGATATAAGTGATATAAATAATGTTTTGAATGTAAAGAAAACTGAAGGAGCGCAAGAGTGCTCATAGAATCTTTGAAGATAATGTTAAGAAATTAAACTTAAAAAAATTAATTATTTTTATAAATACATAATCCTCAAATTTGGTTAATTCTATGAGTTTTCTTATTACATTTCTCTGTTATGTTTTGTATTTCATTAAACCATAAACATTTGAAGTTATAATTACTATTTAACTACAACTAATAAGTAATTATTGAAATGATTAAATTAAATAAATATGGACGGCAAAATTATGACGATATGAGAAAAAAATTACAGCATAATAATTTGTCACTCCTTCTTAATATTGATAGAAACTTTAAGGATAAATAATGAAACATATTGAAATTAAAGTAGTTAAGAAATTACATATCGTCACAATCATTAAGGAATAATATAACTGAGTCAGAAGCTCTCCGACTTGAGCAGATTAGACGCCAACTGTTGAACAGAAGACTCCTGGTCGACATCATTGTAGAATTCGCCGCGACGTTGCGTGAAAGATTCATCTGCGCGTGCCTGTTCCGAAGGTGAACTCACCTGACTGCTACTATCTGGTATGGGCAGTGGCTTGGCAACAGCAATATGAACTACTCCTTTAGGAGCACCCTTCAGAGCTTGTACAGCTTCATCTAAAGAAGCATTCTCCAAACAAATATCATTTACTCGAAGTAAACGATCCCCGGGTATCAATCGACCATCATTTTGTGCTACTCCTCCAGGAACCAATGAACGAATTACAATCACTGTTTCACTTGGATTCATAGGATCCTATAAAAAAATAATGATAATAATATACAAGAAAATTTATAGTTCAACTTAATATTTATAGAAACATACTTGGTAATCTAAAATTGAAAATCCAAGACCACGTTCTCCTTTCATAAGCTCGATAAGTTGAGGTTGTGAAGACCACATAGCTAATCCTGTAAGAGGTTCTAAAGATCGCGAACGTAATCTACTAGATTCTGAACACCCTGCTGTTCCAGTACTAGCCAATGAACCATCAGACTTTGCTTTTACTAAACGGTCAGTAGCAGGCATTAAATTTTGAAGGCTCCCACCTAATGCATTCTAGAAATTAAACATATGATTAAATAACAATTTAAGATTATTAAAGAAATTTTTATTACTTTGGCAGCAAAAGCGGCACGATCTTCTGTTATATCAGTAAGATAATGGTGAGGTAATTGTTGTTCATCAGTGCGTCTAGCACAAATCATTCTGACATTAACTGGTAACTCTTTTAATGTGGCTACTACTTCCATATGGTTTCTACCCAATAATCGATGTCCATTTACTTCAAGCAACTCATCGCCAGACTGAAGTGATGCATTTTTTCCAACAGGACCTTCGGGTAAAACTGATCGAATATAATGATGTGGTCTTACTTCCATACCATTTTCTACATCTACAGTGCCTTCTAAACTTATACCTAGACCACCTCCTTCACTAAATTTTTTCAACTGACCTACCTAAATAATAGGACAACAACTATATTAATAACAGTTTAATAAAATAATAAGTTTTGTTCCATTTTATATTTTACTTACAACAATTTCTACATTATTTCCCACAATTTCATTCCATTTATTTTTTATCTTTTTTAATGTTTCTGGTTTAAGTTCACCATCAAATGAAGAATTTTCAGCAGAATCAGTATCTTCAATAATTTCATCTTCGACTTCATCTAACACATCAGCCTCTACTGTTGCTCCTGATTCACCTTCTACTTCAATTTCTGCAGTACTTTCTCCATCCTTAATTTAATTAAAATGTTTAATTAAACAATGATTAGTGTAATAAATATCATTAAAACTCACTGTGATTGGAAACCTAGGGAGAGACATTATAGATGGTGATGCAGTTGCACTATTTGTACTAGGTTTCATTTCTGATGCTGCAATAGCCACTTGTAGTTGTTCAAATTTAGGACCACGAAGATAACGTTCTAAGCGCAAGGTTACTATTTGTCCAGTAGATCTCAAAACTTCCACAGCTTCATGATTGGTAAATCCTTGTAATGAAGTTCCATCAACTTCAACAATACGATCATTCACTTGAATTTTTTTGCATAGATCAGCTGCACTACCTTCACTTATGCTTTTTACAAATATTCCAGATAATTCTTCTATATATTGAAATATAAATATGATTTAGAATATATTTACGTCAATTTAAAATGTTGAAAAACAAACCTTTTTCACAAACATAACCAGCTATAGTTATTCCTAAGCCATGAGAATCTTTCTTCAATTGTACAGTAAACGAATCAGTTTCCGGAAGTGTTGTAATACTATCTGGTGGTACCATATCCATAGTAAGAACAGGTAATGAATCAGTTATTTCAGTAATTATCAGAGTACTTTCCTATAGTAAAATTAATTAAATATAAAAATAAAATTGTAATTTAGGTTATTAAAAATAATTTACATTAGAAATATTTTGAAGAAAATAATCTGGAGGATAAGTAGCAACTTCAGAATAACCTTGCTGAACTAAATGCCGATCAAGCTCATCTGCATCTCCTAACATTTTTGTTGGTACAATTGGAGCTGTGCAACTCATATTCTGCAAAGAAAAAAAAATTAAAATATCACTCTAAAGTATCTGTACAAGTTATTACATAACTTTTCAGTAATGGAAAAAGTTTGTGACTTATATAGAATGTACACACAAATTTAAAAAAAATTAAACTATATTGAATTAAATACTTGAACTATATCAATTGCACTGGATTCTATTGGACGAGCTACAACTAATCGAACTTGACTTCCAGATTGTCGAAGAACAGCAGCAACTTGTTCACTCCCCATACCTCTTAAATTTACTTTGCCTATCTGTAGTATATGATCACCACTTTGCAATCTTCCATCCTATAAGTAATAATAATTATTTAATATTTAAATATATTTATAAATAATGGATATTTTTTACCCTGTCAGCAACTCCTCCGGGAAGTATAGTTTTAACAACAACACCAGTGCTACGACCACCTATTATACCAAATCCTAGTCCAGATCCATCATTGAGCAGCTCAATTACTTCAACTTGAGCCCATTCAGTGTTCAACTAATACAAATATTGAACTTAATTAATTATTAATATACATATATAGTAGTAAGTTATTAGTAAAAGCACAGGTCCTTAATGAACCGTTAAGCTTTTAATGATGATGATATATATGATTTAAATTAATTAATAACACTTAAACATTTAGTTTCAAATCAAATGCTAAAAAACTTATACTTCAAATATTCTTTTCATAAGTGGTACCACTGAATTTTGTCAGGAGGTGCATCATACATAGTATAAAAACTGATTTCTAAATAATGCTTAAATTATTTAAGTTAAATACATAGAAATTTTTTTCAAATTCTATGACAATATCAAGTTATTTTAGTTTTTTTTTTTAACGGCTACAAAGTAAAGCAGATCACCAGAAAATCTGACAATGATAATAGTAGCATCTATCTTACATTTTTTAGATTGTTATCTTTTTTTTAAAACCTAGGAGGTGCAAGGTTGGTGTTTATTAATTATTAATTAATGTTATTCATAATTTTATCAAATCAAACAATTTGAATATTAGAACCAATTAAAACTACACGCTTTATTAAGTGCATAGGCCCAATTAGATTTCAAATATTAGAGGTGCTGAATGTTCTGAAAATAAAATTGATAGTATTTTACTTTAACTATTATAGGATAACCTAAAAAAAACCAGGAGTGCTAAATTTAAACTTAGAGGTGCTAAAGACTCTCTCGCGTCTATGATTAAATGTTTATAATATACCTACTGATTTTAAATATCTGTAAATTATAAAAAATGTTTACCATGTTACCAGTTGGAATAGGACGCGCTACGACCAACTGAACAAGCCCACGGGCCTGCTGCAGTATTCCAATAGCTTGTTGGTGGGACACATTTGTGTCCAGTGGTTGTCCATCAATAGCAATAATCTGGTCACCTTCATGAAGCCCTCCTTCTCTGCATTATATAACATTGATTTAAATCACTTTATAAAAAATTCTCAGTAAAATCAAAACTTAAGTATTTTATAATACTTAACATAAATTTTTAAGTATGTAATTTTTGTTATTTTTAATAAAAAACAATTACAAAAAATCAACTTAAAATTTTAAATTAAAAGACCAGTTTTTATACATCAAACATGAATATTGTACAACAAAAATAAGATTTTTTTAATTAGTAAAAAACAAATGCATTTTCACACTAAATTAACATACATAAATATTATAATAAATTTATTTTACTATAATTTAATCAAAGTGAACAAAAACTAATAAACATTAAAAATTGTGTATATCAACATTACCATGAAGATATTAGTTTTTTGTCTCATAAACGTTTTAAAACGAAGTTTGCATTCAAATTCAGGAAATGGGAATAGTAATAATTCATTCATGGATTGTGATGGCTAAGAAAAAAATAAAATTTATTTTATGATTTGTTAAATTTAATGAAATCTGATATAAATTTTTATTATATTTACATTGTTAACATTAAAAATCTATAACAGCTATTTATTTATTTATTTATTTATTTATTCTTATTTTTATAAGAAAAATTAAAAACATTATAAATAAAATAACCCTTAGATAATGTATTTTTTACAAATTTTTACTTATTAGCCATCTAATATATTATAACAAAATTGTAATGATATTTATTACATACTAACAAATGAATCACATAGAGTAAATACAATTTCTAAACTATTTTGATAAGTTTCACTTTTAAATTATCATTATACAATGTTTTAGTTTTAGAAATTGTTTAAGAATATATATATTTTGATTTTAGAAATATAACCTTTTATTAACAAAAAGGTAAACAGTTATTATGTACAAACATTAATATATATATATATACATACATATATAATTACTTAGAAATTTACCACTGATATGAATATAAGTGATCCATTAAATAATACTAGTATTTATAATCAATAATATCCAACCTAATTTAATAGAGTTATAATTTAAAGCTTAGTAGTTGATTAAGTAAAAATTTTAAGGTGTAACCACATAATACAGAAACTACAATTATTTTTAGTATTGTAATAAAAAAATATATACATAAATAAATTGAATAACTATTATAACTATAAATTATCATCTAAAAATAAATAATAAGAAAAATAGAATCTCTAATCAAAAAAGCTAAATTTTATAATTTTAAATTGATCTATAATTTTATAGTAACTATACACCAGAATATGATGTTTAATTGTATGTATTTAATTGACTGCAATTACTTTAAGATAAATAATAATAATATAGTGTTATTTGTTTATTCATAAAGACTATAGTAATTATTAAATTTAAGTATTAAAAATAAAATCTTTTTATTTTTAATAACTTTTATTTTGATTATTAATTATGAAAAATATAAATATTAAAAATGTAATCTATTTTATTCTTGTCAATAAATGTTTACAAGAACTACAACAGTTAAATACATTTCCAGCGAATATTAAACTTAGCGATTTAGATCATTATCTAATATAACAAAAGGAGAAGAAAACAAAAGACATAATTGTTTCAACTTATATAATCATATATATATATATATAAAGGAAATAAAATATAAAAATACTATTAAATGAATGGTACTTGTTGATATATGTTGATCAAAACATTCAAAAAGTCAGGCATTAATCATAAATTACATAACTCAATAAGTAAAACATACTATCACAAATTAAGTTAGCCTTACTTATTATTTTTTATAAGATATTTAATAACGTTTTAAAACTTCAAACATGACTTACCAATTGTCGTATTAAAATTTCGTCAATAGTACACCATTTTTGTTTGATAATGGAAAGAGTACTACAAGTCAGTATCATTTTCAATAGATTTACAGTTATTACGTAAATACTTAGGTATAGTACTAAAACGTAACTACAGATATTTAATAACTTTATAATATAAAGTAACTTTAAATGTAAACATCCCGTGTTTTTTATTTTTGGAAAATAATTGAAAGCTCATAAAAACGAATAACGCAAGTGTATTGAACTTATCGCAAAAGCGTAATGACTGGCAGTTGCCTCGACTTGCCGCGACCTCACCCGGCCCGCCCTCTAGGGACTACACAACCAAGGACCTGCGTCATGCGTGTGAAGTGTCTTTTGTGACTACTGAGTCAGGAGATCTATAAATATGCAGGCGCCTGGTAAGTTTTTTCTGTGCGCTACCAACCCCATAAAATATTATGTATTTATATTTATCCTACATTATAAAATATTATAATTACAATTATCGCTATAGGAAAATCAATGTTCGGAATTTATTCCGAAAGTCGAAATCAAATCCTATAAGGAAAAAAATATAACTAAATTGTTTTTATATGGTTACACGAGTATTACAAAAATAATTATATATTTTTAAAATGGTAAAGTTAGGAAACTTCATAAAAATGTACCGATTTATACCTTGAAAATTTAAAAAAAAAAAAAACTAATCGGAATTGAATCTAAAAACAATATACAATTTGGTTATCTTAAAAAAATTAATTTATGTAGAAACAAAACTTACAGTTAAATTAATTATTAGTAAGTAAATAAAATAGTAACTTAATTTTAACTTCTGATTTGTAAACAACTATTAATATGAATTACATTGCTGGAAAAAAATGTTATCTGCATTAAAATAACCAACCAATATTTTTCATTGACATATTCATATCAAATAAAAAAAAAAAAAATCATGAAATTCATTATGATTTTTTACAGTTTACAATTTAATATTCATTAAAGAACATTACTTTTATTATATTTTAAAAACCTTATAAACTTATAGTATTTAAATTTTACAATTTTTATAATTTATAATTATAAATATTTATAATTACCTTTGATCAGTACTGTGAATTAAATAAAATACCTTAAATAAAAATACTTGAAAACATTTGCTATATATATAAATTGCTAATAATCAGTCAAAACTTTTAACACTAATATATTTTAAATTCAAAACTGTTTTATTATTAATAAATAAATTTAAAATATTCTTCAAACCATTATATAATTTTAGTTCTTAAATAATATTTTTTATCAGATTGTTATATTTCTAGCTAAAACAGAACAACACTGCTTTTGCTCTTAAATATTAAATTAATTATCGTACTAAGTAAAAGAAAATTGTTAACATACCTACAAGAATATACAGTGAATAATTATGTGTTTATAAATAAATCAATATAGTACATATTAGTTTATATAATTTTAAATCTTGGCTCAGACCACATAGCTGTAAATTTGGCATTTTTCCTAAATAATAAAAATTAAAAAAAAAAAGCTATAACTAATGTCAAACTATAGATATTCTGATTTATTTGTAGGACTGAAAGTTATATAATATACTAATAAAATAAACAATATTCATATAAGAATATAGTTAAATAATTGTATTTAAATAATAAAGAGGTGTATTAAACAAAAGTAAAAGAATGAAAACAACAAGAAGAATTAAAATTATTTATAAAAATTGTCAAGAAAGTTGTTGAAAAATACTACGGAGTCATTTCTTCTGAAAGACTGAATAATGAGAAATTGATCTTTTAAAAAACAATTTTTAATAATATTAAATATCCCATAAAATAAATGTGATAAGTTATACAAAAAAAAAAAAAACGCGCAATAAGTAATTATGACATTTAAAAATTTAACTATTCAACTATGTTTCAATAGTTATATATAATATGTTTCAAATATTACAAGCAAAAATACACTCTTGAGTGAATGTTATTACTCAAAGAAATAAAATAATTATTCACTGTGAATTTTTGAATTTAATATAAACATATACATTTATTATTTCCTTTAACTATCATGAAATTTGTATAATGTTACATGCATAAGTATACTTAAGATGTCAATCATAGATAGGGTTGAGATAAGATCTTATAAGTTCCAGATTTAGATTTTTATCAACAAACATTTTCATATTTAATTAGTTCATTTAAAAAAAAAATTAACATAATTGAATACCAGTTCAAGAATTATTATTATTTTTTATCTAAACATAGTTTACATTATAGTTTATTTTAATAAATAATTAGTGGATTTAGTTTGTTTAATATTAATAGAAAAATAGTAATAATAGATAAGGGAATTATGCAAGCCAAACAAAACTTTATGGATAATATGGGCTTTTAAGTTTCATAGTCATTATTTTGACTTAATTTAGTTAATACTGAAATAATTTCTTTTTATATTAATAAAATATAAATATTTTGATATCTGATAATTTAAAAACAATTTTTACTATATTTGTAGAATATAAAGAAAACCCGCGGCCCACATGATTTATTAGTTATTATAATGGTGATAGAATAAGGTACCTTAAATAAATGTACCTATAAGTAGACAACATAAAATATAAGTATTAGTAATGGTAAATAATTTCTTTTACAATTTGACTTATATTTAAATGCCATCTAGCTTAAATATATCAATTAATAATTAATGAAGTATTAATATTAAGCATATTAATATTCATTAGCATCTCAAAAAATAAATAAATAATAATAATAAGTTCAATTAAATAAAGAAAATAATATTTATTATAATAAATTACCTACAAAAAACAATTAAAAATTGTTTTGGATAATATCAATTATTTTATTAAGTTCAAAATTGTCTAAAATTATTGTTTTATTTAATGTATGAGAATCATTACAATACAAACCATTTATTTTATATATTTTATTGATATTTTGAAAAATTAATACAATATTTTATTTATAATAAGTATTTCTTATATGAAATAAAATGAATATAAATTGTAATTTTTACCAGTAAATAATTTTTTTTTCAGATTTACACAACAATTTATTTTAGTAAAATTTAAAAAAAAAAAACTTACCGAGCAGCAATCCCATTTGGTTGAATCTCTTGAACAAATATTCCAAGTTCTCCTTTTTCTTCGCTTCTTAAACCAACAACACTAAATCCCAGGCTATTACCTTCAGGTTTGTAAAGCTGAAGAAAATAATTATTATTATTGAGTATTATTTAACATTTTTATATTTTAAACTATTAAATAATAAATATTTATATAACAACACATATACATTTTCATTCTAAATGTTGACTTATAAGAGAAAAATTTAGATTTTTTTAGTTTATTTTTTTTTATTACATTAATTTTTAAAATTTTTTTAAAAAATCATTACATTCTACAAGTAAATTAAACATTTATATTTGTATTTTATGGATTATTTTAAAATGTATGTATAAACTGTATTTTACATTTAGAATAGTTCTAAAATTATCATTCAATAGAATAAAAATATGAAAAAAAAAAATTTAAATTGTAAGATTTTAAATAAAGAATTAATATATACAGTATCTATTATATATTATATCTATCATATCTACTACAGTTTTTATCCAAAATGAAGTTAATTATAGTTTTATCAAACAACACTTAATTGCTTGATATTATATTTTAAAAATAAGTATAGAATATTAATTTTTTAATTAAATTAATTTGATTATAGATATTATATTATCAGTATTTGTCTAGAACTACAATTTTTTTTTTTTATTCATTCATGCCATTATTTGGCTATACAAAGTTCTTTCTAATATATAATTTTAAATTACTTAGTTAAATATAAAAAAATTATAAAAATACATTAATATTATACTTATACATTTAGTTAACTAAAAAAAAGGATTTTATTAATTTCAAAATATGATTTACATACTTGAATATTATGTATTTTACGTCCTCTAGATGCCTCATCAACAGCTTTTTGATATTCAACTACATATGATATTGTTGTTATTGGTGGTAAAACAGTTGCTATATCTTTTATTAAAGATTTACTTTCCTAAAATAAAATATAATTATTAATATTTAAATTTACAATTTTTACAAAAAAAAAATAGGAAATATGTTTTACTTTTTTTACATAAATATTTTATATGCATTAACAGAATGTGTAAGAAATATAATTTATATGAGTTATCACTTCAAAATTTCTAAAAATAAATTCTTTATCATTTTAAATTTTAACTATACATACCCTATTCATAATTTTGATATTTTATAGCTTAAATTAAAAATTTTGTTTATAGATTTAACAATTTTTTTTTCTATTTACACTTCCATACACAGTATAATTAGATTTTTAAAAATTATACATATATTTATTGTCACAAACAAATTTGTATAAATAAGTACCACAATGACTTACAATAAAACTAGAATTTTTTTAGTCTTCTATTTTATCAAATTTTAAATATTTTAAACATATAACTTATATTTCAAATAAATAAGTTAAATTAAAATAAGGCTACCTTTGATATAGAAGAAGAACTTTCAGTAGAAGAACTATTTGAAAGTTTAGGAACTGTTTGATATAAGTCTTCTGGAACAGAATTATACAGAGTAGATTCAGATGGCAAACTCAATACTAATTGACCAGTAACAGGTGATATATCAAAGTCTACTGGCAATAAAGATGGATGTTCTTGAAGTTGACAACTCAATTCAGACACCGAATCCTAAAATATTAAGTTATAAAGATATCATATTTTTATTAAATACAGATATTAAGTTTTTACTTGAACAGATGCAATAGTTTTTATAATTGGATTTTGAAAAACTGAGATCAAAAGTTGAAGATCATTATTAGTATTTTCTTTTAATTTATCATCACCAGATTCGTTGACTAAAGTTTTTATTTCAGTCAAAATAGACAATGCTGCAGACATATCTATAATAATAAAAATATGCATTTAATACCCTATACAGTATTTTGCAATTCAATAAACAAAATTTACTTTTAGAGAATTTAATATATATTTTTATAAATTGTATTACCTGAATAAAGAGACATTTTATTTCTGTTTTTTTCTCGATAAAAAATATAAATTAAAAATATAGCAATATCTGTAAAACAAAATAAATATTATTTTTAGTGTATAGTATTAAAACAAAATTCCATAATAATGATTACTTATAATCAAAAATGAATATTATTAATATTATGACACTTATGACTTAAAAAATTAATTTTAATCTATGAAAAAAACTATAAAAATACACAGAGTATTTTTTTGAGTATTGAGAATCTATTTATTAAGACAATTAATATTTAAACACTTAATGAAACACTTTATTCTATTTAGGTAGTGGTATTGTGACTTTGGTGCATATTTTGACTTACAGGAATAATCACTAAGCTATTCAAAAGCAGTTAAAATTCTCGGATACAAAAATTAATAAAAATCATAGTTTATACACTACTATTATGACTATAGAAAAAAATTGATTAATTTTCTTCATGAATAAATTGTTGCTTAATACATTCTAAAATATAACAATATGTATGAAGTTTCATAGTAAATATACATTTATAATATTCCATCAGGCTTTTTGACTTCTTGTGAATATTTCTTATGAATACAAAATTTTTTTACATTACACACAGTTGTAATGAACACATATAGTAAGTGTGATAAATCCCATAATACTTTTTTAAGTGATGTGTAACTAGGATAACTCTAGGCATATATATATATAAATATAATTTTCTTAGATTCTTGTTTGTGTATTGTAATTTATAACACTTTTTTAAATATAACTTGGTATAAAATATGTTGTAGAATATTTATGGATGGATATGTGCCATTATTAACATAAAATAATTTTCCAAAATAAAAAAATCAATAAATTATAATAAAACCAATAATTAAATACACTTTTTATTATAATATTTATGAATTCCAAGTTATTTAACCCTAGATTACACGTATTAAAAATATTCACGAGATTCCACACACACGGTGTTTTTGACCGTGTTTTAATAGGTAATGTAATTTGAACCCTTCAATAGTACAGACAACAAATCGTATACAGTAAGCAATTATATCTAATATTAGTTTATCATCTAATTAGAAGGTACCTAGATTGGGTTAGATTAATATTTCATATTTTTGAAACAATGAACAAAATTCAAAAAGCCCGGTCTTTATGACCGTGAAGCGTGTACTCTAGGGTTAATTAACTAAACTGTGAACCAATAATTTTGAATCAAAGGAACTGAAATTTACGATTTGTAAATTAAAAAAAATAACCATAACTATTATGAACCAATAACTTTGAACATGAGTCGCATAAATTAATAAATACATATAAATATCAATGTATAATTTATACTTTAAAAATTGTTAAATGTTTAGGAATCCAACAAATATAAATATTTTTGAAAATTTAAAGCAAATTAAATTTTGAAAATAATACCTATTAACACTAATTATACTTGTAAATGAACAATAAAAATAATCTTTATATGTAATAAAAACATACACTTACTAATAATAATTTTTATAAAATTAAGTTCCAGAGAAAAAAAAATGAATAGACTCAGAAATAAATAAAAACTAAAAAGTATATTTTTTTTATTAAGTTATAAAACTTGTTATTGAATACTAAAGTATAAATTAAATCATATTAACAATCTTTAGATTATGTTTTCTAATTTTATTACATATTTTGCTAGTTGATTTTTATGTATAATTTATTTTTTTTGTTAGTTTAAAATTTACTAAAAAAGTTAACATACTTTCTCTTTTGTAATATTAAACATAAATAATTTTTAGTTATGGCTAGGTACATAAATAATACAATGCACTGATTTGGAACTAGATACAAATGATACACAATATGTAAAACATTTATTGTACCAAATTAATGAGTAGTTCATGCTTCAAAAATATAAAATCTAGATTACTATCAAGCACATATTTAGGGGGAGGCACGGGTAAGCACATGCCTGGGAGCGGCAAAATATTTTAGCAAAATTAATTTTAAAAATTATGTACCTAATGAAAAAAAAATAAAACAAAAAAAAGAAAATTTTATGTTTTATTATGTTATAATTTGTTTAATTTGTTAATTAAAAAAAGTATTTAATCATTTTTATTTATAAGTTATATTTTAATATTAAAGAATATTGTTTATGGACAAAATAATAAGTGTTATATTATTATTATTTATTTTATTTTTTTGGGGGGGGGGGGGCATAAATTATATGACCAGGAGCACTAAATTTTTAAATACGGGCCTGATTAGTTTATTTTAAACATTAAGTCAATATTTATACATATTTACATTTTTTAGTAAAATATATTGCATAACATAATTTATTTAATATGTAATAAAAATGAGTCTAAATTATGAATCACATTTAATCATTTATTAATTCACCTATATACTATCTAATTACTATAATATAAATACAATATCAAAACTGAACATTTTACAAAATTAATAAATTGTACATACTTTTACTTTCCAATGTATTAATTTAGTGGCATAAAGGTTTATAAATATTCATAAAAACAATCGATTTAATACATTTTAGGTCGATCATCAATAAGGTTTTTCAATAATAATTTAATCAAATATAATTCAGCTAAAAAAAAAATGTAATACAATCTTGAGAAGAATAATAATACAGGTAATTAATAGAAAAATGATACAATGATAGACGATGTAGTGTCCATTAGTAAATAAACAATAATAAATATGATAATTGATAAAATGAAAAATATAAGATATGCCAATAATTTAAATATATTTACAGTGTTGCAAACACAATATTTTAGTATTGTATCATACGAAGTACAATTATTATGACACTAACTATACTAAACGTACAAAATAAACGTATTATTTTTTTTCATTATCATAGTTCACAATAATTTAAAATTGATATATAATTATGTATTAATCGAATTTGTTCGGAATAGTATGAAATTAAACATTTATTACTATTATTTTCTTACATCGACAAAATAATATACATTTAATAGAAGATTCCTTACATCCACCAATCAATAATCAAACAACCTTGTTATTACATACCTATATATTATATATGTATATATATATGTGTGTGTGTAAATGTTCTTATATATAACAGATTGAGGATTACAAAAAATAATAACAAAATGAATACATCGTAATTTATTTTAAAAAACAATTATAAAACCCCAATAAACCAATCTTTGTTACACTTGTAAGTTATCTTTTACAAAATGTAATCGGTCTTATAGTATATATAACTTGGAGTAAGTTCTTGGTACAGGCAAAGTTGTATAATTCACAGTTTAACATACAAACATTGTTTTTTTAATTTATAAATAAATATATTGTAAAAAATGATGGTGGGACTTCTTTTTCTAAATATTTTATTATGTTATATTATTTTATAATACACTTTCCACTTAAACATGATTTTATATTTTATTTTTAAGTAAGTATACATAAAAAAGTAAATAAATAAATAAAATAATATCTGTACTAGGTAAGTTTTTTTAAACATTAAACTCTAATCACAATTTTATCAATTTATGCAGTTTTAAATAGATCGCTTTTGCTGATTTTGATAACATTAAGTAAAATAACAACAATAATTTACAACATGAATTTTAAAAATAATATTTTCATATGTAATATTTAAATAACAAATTATACATTGAATTTCATATTCCGAAATAGGTAAATCGAATACCAAGATGATAATAAAAATTAATTACCTATATAATATTCTATAAATTTAAAATGTATATAAATAAAAAAGACAATAGTAAACCTATATTATTTGGTGGACAGTGCCAAATTTAACAATTGTGCCACTTTAAGCACTAAACAAATTGCTGCCTTTTAATATAAATATTTTTCTAGTCTAAAAATGTTATTAAAGCAATACAATTATAGTTATTTCCTTTATTACTTAAAATTTTAATGATGTAGAATAAAAATATACATCTGTTATAAAAATGCATACATACATTCATATGAACAACTTCATTATAAAAATATGATATAAAATATAATGATAAAAAACATGGTGGTAAAAAATGCTTAAATAGTTCATTTTTAAATTATATTCAAAATTAAATAGTTAGTGCCTAATACCCATCGACTTTTATAAAATAAAACATTTTATAATTAGTTGCATTATTTTAGTTCTAGTTACATATAATAACAATTATTTGCCACCCTTGAGAAATTGCCGCTCGAAGCACTAGTTTATAGTGTACTAAGAAATACGACACTGTTGGTGAGATAGACCTTCTACTTTTTTACTATATACCTATACGCAGCCACTATTTTTAGTGAACCCAGACACGAAGTGTGTAGTTCGAAATTGAAAGTGTGCGCTATTAAATACAAATAAATAAGACTACTATGGTGTTTTTCAGGAAGCTAGTATAAGCAAAACAGCTGGTAGCGATTTAAATATATGTATTTAATATTAAGTTATATATCCCTCATTAAAATTAATAATTTGTTAATCATTTTCAGATTTATACCAAACTTAAGAATAATTTCAGTTTGAAAAATAATAACAGATTGGTAGTTACCTACATAATTACAATGTGCAATTTGAAAAAAAGCTGTTACTAAAAATTATAATCCTAAGTAAGTGGGGTAGAAGGGGCCTCTGTATCACATATTATACATTGAAATATGTATAGTACAAAGTTTTATATAAAATAGGAGCTCTACCTGTATAGGATGTGTAGGCTTAAATTCAAAAATATGGAATTTTAAAATTTTACTATTTAAAAACTTAAAAAATTATATCAAATAAAATTGTAAAAATTATTTATTTTACAAAGATGTTGTGTAAGTTATGATTAATGATGTACAATTAAAATTAATATTTTTCAAAAATGCATCAACTCAAAAATAAGTGTTTAACGTTGTAAGAATTACAATTAATGTTTTGTAAATCAATATAGTTATGAAAATAGTACCTTTATAGCTGCATTTATTATAAATATTATTTATATAATATTACCTACTTAATCCTTTAATCACTAGAAAAAAAATATGAAATAAATTGAT